AACACCATTCAAGACCTCTGCCTACCACGTATAATATAAGATGCATGGAAACAAAACATTACTCATATTTTTATGGTGAAGTTCTGTTTCATCTTCTCGACAAGAGAAGCCTTTTCGCGGGGCCTTTTCTAATTAATAACTGAGGCCACTGCATAGAAATAAAAAAAATCAAACATCAATTAGTGCATTCTTTTGCCATTTATCTTCGATCACATCGTAATGTCATTCTGTGATAGTTTGCTTTTTTAAAAAAGTTTTCTTGCCTTAAACTTGAAACAGGTTTGTTTTACTTTTAAAATATTGCTTAACTTCCTTTCGTTTTGTCAACTCCGAACCCCGCCCAAGAATTGCTGCTTATTGGGAGGGGGGATAGCTTTTCGACTCTACCTTTATTGAGAGCCCCCGCCGGTTATCGATGGCACAAGAGTAGCCATTGCAGTAAGATTTTTAATAAATTGCCAGATAGATTATGTAATAAAATATAAAGCCAATGTTTTAGACCGAGGGGTAAAAAAGTTAGTATTAGAAACAGTTTGTTGGTAAAATTGTACTGTGTTTCTTCAAATCAAATTTGGCCCAAATTATGCGTTTTTTGTGCTCATCAAGAAAGGCTACTACATTTTTCTGATTCCATCAATGCATGTACATTTTAAACTTGCCTTTTCATGGCTAAGAACAGGTGGTGTGACGACTACAAAAGCAAATAACCAAACAACGTTTGAAGGCAGGTTGAACAATACCACTTGAAATTGAATATTTTGCTTCAATATTCACCAAAGTCCCATTGCAAAAGCAATTAATGCAACTATATAACATGATATTGCTGACTTGAAAGCTTTCAAGATTGTATTTTCCACGGCTAAGGCTATATGGGCCAATTAGTTTTAGCAAGAAGCACAAAAATGACTGCCATGATGGCCTAAACTTTTAAAGGTCACGTGGGTTTTGGCGCCTAATCGCAAGAGGTTTAAATATTCCATCGAACGAAGGTGGGCTGTTTTGATTTGTTATCTGCAGTGGCAGTGAGGAAACATTCGTGAAAGTTGGGTACCATTTTGATTGAAGTAGTAGCTGGGAATAAGTAACATGGATTCGTCTGCTACATCACCAAAGAAAGCGAAGAAGACAGCGGCGCCAAAGAAGCCTGCTGCACATCCTGCGTACAAGGACATGATCGCGGAAGCAATCAGAAATTTGAAGGAGCGAAATGGGTCATCGCGACAGAAAATTGCCAAGTATTTGCAGTCTAATTACAAAGGTCTTGGTGATGAGAGTGCTCTGAAGAGAAACCTTAAGGCCTCTTTGAAAAAACTGGTCGCCTCTGGTTCTCTCATCCAAACGAAAGGGGTAGGGGCTTCAGGATCGTTCAAGCTGCCTGCCGCCGCCAAGAAGCCTGCAGCAGTGAAAAAGCCAGTAGCTGCAAAAAAGGTTGCGAAAAAGCCAGCAGCAGCGAAGAAGGTTGCTGCCAAAAAGACTGCCACTTCAGCCAAGAAAAGCCCTGCAAAGAAGAAGGCCTCGACACCAAAGAAAGCCAGTGGAGCCAACAAGTCACCAAAGAAGCCCAAGGCCAAAGTGGCAAAGAAGCCTAAAGTGGCTGCTGGTAAGAAGGCATCGGCTGCTGTTAAGAGCAAACCCAAAAAGGCTGCCAGTGCCAGCAAGAAGACAGCAAAATCACCGGCTGGGAAGAAATCCAAGACTGGAAAGTCGAAGAAGTAGGAGTTGAAAAACGAAGTCATGTTGCCACTTACCATATAAACAAACAGCTTTTTTAAAAGCTACCAAATCGTCGGTCATCGGTTCTGGATTAGCCCTTTCGGCTGCATTGATATCATAAAAATGACATGTAGAGTTTTCAAAGCTGGTGGCCCACCAAGCCAGTGACAGTCAACTCAACCTTGTCTGCCACTTTGTTTTTTGTGATGTTCTTTCCTGTAATGATTGTGATGTTCTTGTAATGATTGGCACAATAATAATAATACCTTGTTAGGAAAATGGCATGAAATAATTCTGAAGTTCTATGTTGGCTGTTAAAGCAAGCAAGCATAATATTGCTATTAGTTTGATAGAAATGAAAGAGCAAGCTTAACAGTTTTATGGTTACATTTCAAGCTTCTATATTTACGATATAGATAGGAGGTTTCAGCATCATTTCAGCCATTTTCAGCTAATTTCAGGTTATGCCAAGCACTCATTAAATTATTTTGACTACACAATTGCAAATGCACACTCTCTTGAAAATAAGCAAAAAATGCATTGATAGAGTTAATGATATATTTTTGGTTGTATTATTAGGAACTGTCAATTATGCAAATTGAAGTAGCATTTCATTTGCCAATATGCATTCCCACTATACCTCAAAACTGGTTTGACAGTAGGGGTGGGCTGCCTTTGATGGGTTTTGAGATTAATAAACAGCAAGAGACAACTTTGGACAACACATAGATACATAACCCTTGTGTAGTGATGCTTAAGCTTGAATAACCCTTACAAGATAGGTAATAAGATTCATCGTTTAAAAAGTCAGTAAATTATGTTGAGAACAAAAACTGCAAGAGCACTTGTATTTGTCCCACACAGTCTAAAGCATTTGGTATTGTGATAGAAATTGCACTTTTGAATTCAAACTATAAATATCAAGACTGGATTGACAGGAGGGGATCTTCTTGGGCAATGACCTTAATGATAAGCATGTAAAAAATTTAGTCCATTCTCATGAAGCCAATTTTTGGTAGGTTGTGAAGTTGCTCTTTGGAGAATCTTTTTTTACAATCTATTTACACAATCAGAGTTTATCATGTGAATACAAGCATTAAGTTTTGTCGGCTATGATTGGCTATGAGAGGTTGGCTATGATTTAACTGCATAGGGAATATATATTATATATTGTTTATTTACTATGACCCCAACATTTTCAATCAATCTTAACATTGGGTTAGCAGAATCTGAAAACTTTTTGCACCAATAATGTATACATGCATTATTGTTTTGAGTGCAATTTTAGCCTTCATGCTAATTTGTCTTGTTTGCCTAAAGTGTTGATCATGAGAAAAAATTTGCATTTTACATTTACTTGAATGTTAGTCTAGCAGTATGAAAATGTGGTAAGTAATTTTTTATTATCCCATTGTACACAGTATGCAATGATTTACATTACAGGTGATTTCGTGAGGAGTTATTCCCTCCATTCTCTCTTGGCTGTGCGATTGTGAATGGAGAGCAAGAAAGAACTTGGTAGTAAAGTTATACTTTGGACTGAAGACTTGAATCACTGTTGAGCAAGATCTACTTGTAAGTAAGTAGAGATATAAGTAAACATGCAGTTTTGGATATCTTAGTTTCCTTGGTGCTGAAATTTGGAATGACTTATAAACAGGGAAGGAAAAAATTTAATGCTCTATAAATCAGCCTTCTAAGGAAAGTTGACAATTCATAGATATGGAGGAAGTCCCAGCCCAAGTAGTTTGCTTGTTAAAAACCTCCCTCTTTAAGAATTCTCTTCATTCAGATAATGCTTGCTTGAAATTTATTTCTTCACGTTTTCAAATTGTACATATCTAAAGGTTTTGTGTATACACATGAACATATATATGAAACATATGAACAAAAGTAAACTGATTTGAGTCGACCATGTCGTGTGTATTCTGGCTGGAGAAATATAATCTCTGGTGTTCGTGGTGGTTTTTAAAAAAACCGTTTTTTCAAAGAATTCATCGACAAAGATGAAATTTGCTTGTTGAATTAAGCTCTCTCCCCTCGAATCCTCCTGGCCAGTTGTATGTCCTTTGGCATAATGGTAACACGTTTGGCATGAATGGCGCACAAGTTGGTGTCTTCAAACAGTCCAACTAGGTAAGCTTCTGATGCCTCTTGGAGGGCCATCACTGCCGAGCTCTGAAAGCGCAAGTCTGTCTTGAAGTCTTGGGCTATTTCTCGGACGAGCCTTTGGAAGGGCAGTTTCCTGATCAACAACTCGGTCGACTTCTGGTATCTACGAATCTCTCTCAGAGCAACTGTGCCGGGCCTATATCTGTGAGGTTTCTTTACTCCTCCAGTTGCTGGGGCACTCTTTCGTGCAGCCTTGGTTGCCAATTGTTTGCGAGGAGCTTTTCCTCCAGTCGATTTTCTTGCAGTCTGCTTTGTACGAGCCATTTTAATACCTCAACGAAGAAATTTACGTGGTGACTGAGCGGTAGGCACAACGGATATCAATCTGCAAAATGGCGCCATTCGACTTCAATTTGAAATAATTGAGCAAGCCACGTGACATGCCGGGAGAACAGAAGCCAGATGACAAAAACAAAAGGCCCATTGGCTGCTTGTTCCCTAAACTTTCGAGCTGCCAGTAGTCTTGTTCTGAACAACATTCTTACGATCTGATTTAAAGTTGGGGGAAACAGAAATCGCGACATTTTTAGAGGATTCAACAATTTTAAATTACTCTCTCTTAATTTTGAGAATTATTTGTCTTGGTTATTGGCAACAATAGCAACTTTTTACGTAAATGATGTTTGCGAACAATCTTTTTGTGAAACAAAATTAAAAAATGGCTTTGGAAAGAGCAAACATTTTAAACATTCTCAAGTATTTCGTCTGATATTCTTTTCAAAAAAAACGTAAGCATAAAACGTCATCAGAAAATGGATAGTAGAACAACAAATCGTCGGTAGAACTTTCGTGCACTTTGCTTCAGTAGAGTTACGAAAGGCGCCAACAAAGCAACCAACAAGGCAAGATAAAGAAAGTGCTCCTAATACGTTCGCTTTTTCTACTGAATATAAACCCTGCAGTTTGCAGCAGCTTCAGCAATTTACGCAGTTCACTTGTTTAGCGTATTGTCGTTTGGACTTACATTGCAAAACTTTCATCAATCATGTCTGGAAGAGGAAAAGGAGGAAAGGGTCTTGGCAAAGGAGGTGCCAAGCGTCATCGAAAGATTCTTCGTGACAACATCCAAGGCATCACCAAGCCAGCCATTCGCCGATTGGCTCGTCGTGGAGGAGTAAAGAGAATCTCTGGTCTCATTTACGAAGAGACACGAGGTGTTCTCAAGGTTTTCCTCGAGAACGTCATTCGTGATGCAGTCACGTACACAGAACATGCCAAGCGAAAGACTGTCACCGCCATGGATGTCGTCTACGCTTTGAAGAGACAAGGCCGAACATTGTACGGATTTGGCGGTTAAGTTGCGTCGTCTTGTTTACTGGACGAACGACTGGAGTGGCTCGCCTTCTTCAACAAAACAAACAGCTTTTTTAAAAGCTACTAAAAATGCCAATGTTACCCAATGTTTTACACCTTGTGACAACACACGATTAACACAATAGATCAATTGAAAATTTTACTTCGCTCATTATAACTCAACCGTTTTGAAATCAAGACCCTTTAATACCATGCATGAAAGAACATACAATTAATATCTATCTATATATCCCGGTTGAAGTAGTTAATACATGCCAATTTTTTGAACACATAGAATGGTAAGTTATTTCGTAGGCAGACAGCAAGAATTCGAAATGTCAACTTTGTTTAGAAGAGTGAATAAAATATATTATAGTTCTACCAGAGAGGCTTTTGAAAAACGAAGCTGTAACTATATAGCCTCCCTAGGATAAACAAATAGCACTGGCACACGGGAAGTATAAACATAAAAAGACCTTCTAATAACCAACTTGAAATAACCATGGTTATTTTATTTTAAACCTTTTTTAAACCAAAGTTAGCTATTTGCTGTTGAATGTTGTATCTCATTATCTTTATGCATTTTTTTTATTAGGCCGCATATCATTATTTCAGGCTATGAATGTTGGTCTAAATGGTGCACAGCCCTCGAGAAGCAACATGAAAACATCGAATGTTAGCCAAACACTACCTACTCCCAATCGAATATAGCCTACAATCCTAATAAGGCCCAGGTTAAACGTCGTGCTTCTCATGTGCCGAACCTAATACAATTGAGTTCACCAGAAGCGCGACGTTAGCGCGGCCGCCAAGTTAAACGTCGAACCATGGTCGAACCTAATGCGCAGAAAATTACGGTCGGGGCGGTATCCAAGCAACAGCCATCGATTAAAGATCAACATAATTTTTCAAAATGGCCTTAACTCGCAGAGCGAAAACCTTACTGTTGAAAAGTTTAATTTCAAAGCGTCGTAAGCGTCGAAATTTGTTGATTAAAGGAATGGCCATTATTCTACTACAGAGGCTAATGACATTGAGGTCGTTTCTGCTGGCAGCTACGTATTTATTTGGCGAGTTGACAACATCACGGGCTAGGGTTAGGTCATGCAGAAGGTTGCCAAGAAATACAGGTTGGTGGGAGAAACTGTGGTTTACCTACGACGATAAACGATTCAAGCAAACACTAAGAGTATCAAGATCGACATTTGAATTTATACTGACAAGAATAAGACCGCAACTTGAGAGACAAACGCTTACTGAAGAACCCATCTCTCCAGAACTTCGTTTGGCAATCTGTCTCTATCGTCTTGGTAGAGGGGATTATCTTTACAGCATAGGGGAAATGGTAGGCCTAGCACGTTCAACAGTCACAAGGATTGTCAACGAGGTCACCCAAGTAATTGTTTTCTGTCTTTGGGAACAATTCGTATCTAATAATATGCCAAAAACTGAAGATGAATTCCAGAGCAAGATATCAGATATGGAAGAGCTTTGGCAGTTTCCCTGTAGTTGGGCAGCTGTTGATGGATGCCACATCCCCATTAAATGCCCACCTGGTGGCCAAAGTTCTCGAAAAGAATATCACAATTTCAAGAACTTCTATTCAATTGTTTTAATGGCATTAGTGGATGCCAAATATCGTTTCATTTGGGGAAGTTGTGGCTTCCCTGGGAATTCCCATGACTCAATCATTTTGCAATCAACCTCTTTGTGGAAGAAGATAAAAGATGGAAAAATGATTCCAGAGATCTGCCAACAAATAGATGCTGTTAAAATCCCCCCTCTTATTCTTGGAGATTCTGCCTTCCTCTTTGAATCATTTTTAATGAAACCTTATACCAATGCTGTTTTGACAAAAGAACAACGCTATTTCAACTACAGACTGAGTCGTGCCCGTATGGTCATTGAGGGAGCATTTGGCCAGCTTAAAGGAAGATGGCGGTTCTTGTTGCGAAAGTCTGAGGGCAATGTCTACGAAATCAAAGTTGCTACCTTAGCCTGTTTAGTTTTACATAATATTTGCCTTGATTGTGGAGACACTCTGCCTTCAAAGCTTGATGTATCAATTGACCCACAAAGCAGTCAAAGAAGAGACAGAGCAACAATCCGTGACCTTCTTCTCATGAGTACCAGCAGAAAGATTTTTGATGCACGTGATAACAAGGCAGTTCAAATAAGGAAGACTCTTGAGTCCAAATTGGCAAAAGAATTAGCTGAGACTTCTAAGAAATGATCATAGATGAAAACACAGAGTTGAACACAGTGACTTTTCATTATTCTTTGTTAACAGTTATGGTTCCAATTTGACTTTTAAGATATTAACCTTTAAGATATTAACTTTTAAGAGTATTTTGTTAGATAATAAAGTTTTCATAACTCAACATCACAATTTCGTGAAAGTTTTCTCAGATGTCTCATTGACACTATTCAGTTCTTGCATGAAGCTGTTATAAGCAGAACTGCTGCCAGCCATGTGATTCATGGTATTATGATCATAAGGATGTTGCTGGATGACTGGATTCATGTTGCTGTAATTCAGAAATTGCTGCTGCTGTGGTGGCATCGTTTGTTGGTTCATGATCAAAGAAATCACTGCAAGTTCGTGTTTCCTTTCTCTTTCCTCTTGTTCCCTCATGAATTTCAAAAAATCACTAATTGGGTCTTTTTCAGCAATGTTTTTCATAAGGCCCAGCATCTCCTTGAATTGCTGTTCCTTGGGGGGACTCTTTTTGGTGCCCTTCATGACTGGGATGAAAAATTCTGGTGTTGATTCAGCTGGAGCAACACACTCACTTGTGGAATCAAAAGATCGCTCACTTGGTTCGATGGCTTGTTCCGGCTGGCAGCTTTCTCTTGTTTTCACCAGCTCTAGCAGCTGATTGAACCAAACTCCGTAATTCTTTTCTTCTTGGAATCTCTTTATTCCACTTGCAGTTTTCATTACAAGTGCTGCTTTCTTGCACTCCCCAACTACCTTCTTAAATTTATTACGGAGCTGGATTACAGTGTAGTTGCAATTCTCATTTCTAGCATGAACACGCTTTTTAAGTTCTTTTAAAATGTTCCCATATATTTCACCATTTTTTTGATTTTTGACATTCTGGAAAATTAGTTTTTTCTTGAAATATTCATTGGATACAATGATATCAATAAAGTCAGCAAGTAAAGTGTCAGGCCAACTTGTCTTTCTGCCAGATTTCTTTTCTTTCTTTCTTTTTTTTAATGGTGGCCCATCAGCATTACTCTCATTCCCACTTTCAAAATCTGCTTCCTCATCTTCTTTGTTACTGTTAGGACTAAAAGCAGAAAAATAAAAGTGGTAGGCAAGCAAAGTAGTAGTAATTTTTAATGATAAGCTTGTAATTTGGCCTATTCAAGAATAAGAACCAGGAACCCACTAAACTAATATTTATTCAGAAAAGGCTTGAATATGAAATACATACCTTGATGGTGATATCAATTCAACTTTTGATGACTCAAACTGTTGCACCTTACAAACAGAACAGTAGCCTACACTCCGGCATGGAATCCAGCCTTGGGTTTCTTCATCTAACTCCTCCAAACAACAAACTGTACAGACTGGTACCCCGCAAGTTATGCAGATATATTTAGTCTGCTTCATACATGATTCGCAATTGTCTATGTTTCGTGAATTTGATGTCATGATCGTTATACTGAATATGAATTGAATAAACTTCTAAATTTTCAAGAACACGAGTGAAAGTGAAGTGAACGATGACTCGTCGGAATGGCGTAAGTTTGTCGTTGGCGCCTTTTTCCTATCTCATCTGCGCATGCCTAACCTCGTTTTAACGTTCAAAATAATTAAAAATAATTTATGCGTTAGGTTCGGCACATGAGAAGCACGACGTTTAACTTGGTGTCGTGCTACTGCCGTGCGGCACGGCAGAACAAGTCGAGCCAGAGACGTTCTGTCGAACTTAATCGATTCTGTCGAACTTAATTAAGTTAAACGTCGAGCTTCTCATGTACTTAATTCAGCAATTAGGTTCGGCGCATGAGAAGCACGACGTTTAACCTGGGCTGCCTTTTTCACAAAATGTAATTAGATAGATATGTGTACATCGATAGCCTCTACACAGAATGTGCCTTCGTGTGTGTGACAAGCAGGTACACCAAATCAGTTTTCGTGGTGGTTTTTAAAAAAACCGTTTTCAATGAATAAGTGGCCGGGCCAACAAGTGAGTCCAAGCTTTATGATTTTGGAGCTTTCTGCTCGGTCTTCTTTGGTAAGAGTACTGCCTGAATGTTTGGCAGGACACCACCTTGTGCAATGGTCACTCCACTCAGCAATTTGTTCAGCTCCTCGTCGTTTCTGATTGCAAGCTGCAAGTGTCGAGGGATGATTCTTGACTTCTTGTTGTCCCTGGCGGCATTGCCAGCCAACTCCAAGATTTCTGCCGAGAGATACTCGAGTACGGCTGCAAGATAGACGGGAGCCCCCGATCCAACTCGTTCAGCATAGTTTCCCTTTCTCAACAATCTATGGATACGTCCGACTGGGAACTGAAGACCAGCTCTGGATGTCCTCGACCTTGCCTTGGCCTTAGCTTTTCCTCCTTTTCCGCGTCCAGACATGTTTCTACACTGGCAGTTCACAAATTGAAAATATGAAATGGTCCCTTGCTGTAAGATGAACAAATTTGTTCGCAACTGTCTGCTTAACCGCCAAAGTGGGAAATTTGTAAACGGAATTTACTCGAGATCTACCAATCAACACCCCCGCTATCGACCGCGAACGATAAGCGAACACGAGACAGCGAATCGACGTGTGTCACATGGCCTTCGAGCTAATCACTCAGCTGCCAACAAATAGACTAAAAGCTTGCGTTGGCGCCAAAAGACCAGATCACTGTTGCTTTGTCTATCTATCGAATATTCTCATTTCATTTCAAGCAAGATGTCTGACGCCCCAGCAAAAGGAGGAAAACAGGCCCCAAAGGTTGCCAAGAAGGGGGAGAAGAAAGCAGGAGTTGGCAAGAAAGGTGGCAAGGCTGCCTCTGGAGATAAGAAGAGGTCGAAAAAGCGCAAGGAGAGCTACTCGATTTACATCTACAAGGTACTTAAGCAAGTCCATCCCGATACCGGCGTTTCAAGCAAGGCCATGAGCATCATGAACTCGTTTGTCAACGACATCTTCGAAAGGATTGCTCAAGAAGCCTCGCGTCTCGCCCACTACAACAAGAAGGCAACGATCACGTCGAGGGAAATCCAGACCGCCGTCAGGCTTCTCCTTCCCGGTGAACTTGCCAAGCATGCTGTCAGTGAGGGCACCAAGGCCGTTACCAAGTACACAAGCAGCAAGTAAACTTGTCGTATACACAAACGAGTGTTTCCTCGTCGTCTACAATCAAAAACAGCTTTTTTAAAAGCTACCAAATTAACCAATCTCGTTGCTATACCCACTAACACACACGATGTGGGGTTTATTTATTTTTCAGGAGAGGGGAGGACAGAG